TTTTTTACGTAGAAAGCTCCTTATTTCGTAGCAAAACTGGTCTTTAATTAGCAAGAGTTTTTTACTGACTGGTCGACGTAAGTCCAGATAGCGATAACGATAACGAGTATTTTCATTAATATTAACTTCGTCCTTGATTTCAAAAGGCAATTCTTTACTTTTATTAATTAATTGGTATTTAGTCAATTCTACTTCTATTTCCTGACTGTTTGCTTTCTTTTGGGGCATGCCTCATATTTTCACTAAATCTCCTCTTTTAATCGTTTTTAGATTAGTAATTAATTCCTTATTTTTAACTACTATTTGCCGATAATCACCATTTTTCTGCTGGCTAAGCAGGAATAATAAATTACCTAATTTACGAATTTTAGTAATTCAGGCAAAAAAGACTACTGGTTTAAGGGGAAAGGTTTTAGTAACAGAGAACATTTTCTATTTTCTCGGAAGTTTCTAGTTTGGTGAGTTATTGCTCCTCTTTCTTGGTTAAGTATAAATTAACTAAGCAATATCTTTTCCGCAAGCGGTCAGTGCGTCCTTTGGCCCGATATATGACTTTTTTTCTTATTAAACCCCGATTTACTTCAATTTTATTCAGATAAAAATTATTAGTATTTTCTTTCTCCCTCACTAAGTTTTTAGCTGTTCCTTGTAATAATTTACGAAGTATCCGCCCCCCTTTTTTGGGCAAAAAGGCTAAGAGATTTAACGAATGTTCTAACTCTTTTTTTCTAATTAGTTCCGCTATTAAGTTCATTTTTTGGGGGGAAATAGCCAAGGGAGAACTTTTGATAATAATTGATTTCATAAAAAAATTATTTTACTTATAAGTATATTTTTACCTCCTCCTCTCTTTTTTTTTCAACTTAATAATTAAGTTTACTATTATCAATAAACTTATGCCTAACATGCTCCCTCAGATAATTCTTTCTTGTTGGTGCTGTTTAATTAACTTATCCGTCGACTGGAAGGGAAGATTAGTAAGTTTTTGTTTTAAATGCTTCTTAATTTCCCCATTACGCAGTTGCGATAATTGCTGATAAGTAGGGGCTTGTTTTCACAGTTCAAG